ACACCATTCTCTGAACTCTTTGGGCAAGTGAGTCTATTGGAGTTATCTATTGAGAGATGCCTACAGAGGCCACTTCAAATCCCTGTTGCCTACTGTGTAAGGACATAAGTGTGTTTGGGAGTGGGAACAGAGACAGTTTCTCTGGTTCTTCCTTAGCAATCATGGCCTGCCAAGGTAGAAACTAGAGATGGCACTTTTTATAGACAGTGATCTCACTAGAGCATAGAGGGGAAGAAAGTCTGTGTTAAACAGAGCAGGGTATGAGCTGTGGCAATAACTATTCCATGCCTAATAGGTGCTGGGCAATGGCTAGGTATTTTGGTTTTAGTAGAGAGGAAAATAAATTCACTGTTTCCACCCTCAAGACAGAGGTAGACTCATGTGCCTTGAACACAGAATGATTTGTTGAAAGAAATTATATTTACATCTAAGTATTTATTTCTTTTTTTTCTGAGATAGTGAATGTTATTGTATTGTTAATTTCAGTGTCCACGTATACATTGCTAGTATATTGCTTTTTATTTTTACCTTGTATTCTCACATCCTTGTTAAACCCACTAATTAGTCATAGGCATTTTTGTATGTGTATATTCCTCAGGGTTTTCTATCTAGATAGTCATATCATTTGCAAATAGAAATTGTTTTTATTTATTTCTAATCTGTATGTTTTTTATTTCTTTTTGTTGTCTCTTGTGCTGGCTAAGCCTTCCAATACTATGCTGAATAAGAGTGGACATTATTTTCCATTCCTAATCTTGGGGGGAAGCATTCAGTCTTTCACCATTAAGTACATTGTTAGCTGTAGGGTTTTTTCCAAATGTCATTTGCACTTTGCTAGTAGGGGTGTGGGTGGGACATGAAGTGTTCTGTAGTGTTTGGCTGAAATAGAGTCGTTATTATCTAAAAGTTTTCTGTCTTGCTGGATGGAACAAGCTCTTCCTGGGGCTTTTGTGTGTGTGTGTGTGTGTGTGTGTGTGTGTGTGTGTGTGTGTGTTGTGTGTGTGCGTGCGCGCACGCGCGCGTTTGCATTTCCAAATTGCTGGCTTCTTTGTCGTCTTCTTGGCTATGTGAGGCAATAAGAAAATGCAGGGAACTCACCACAGTGTCCTGCCTGATTCCTGAGGTCCCTAACAGGTCTGCTTTCTTAACTGTGCCTTTCAGAGTCTTCTTATGTTTGTTTTATATATGATGTCCAGAGTTTTAGTTGTGCATAGCAGGTGGAATAGAGAAAAGTATGTCTATGCCATCTTCCTGGAACTGGTTGGTAGAAATTAGAGGACATAGGTTGGGGCTAGTTTGTTAAGGGCCCTAATACCAAGGGTTTGACTTTGTAGGTGGTAGGAGGTGACAGTGGACATGGGGCAGAAGGAAGATGAAAGTCTACATGGGCAACAAGGAAGTGTGAAGAGATGAGGTTGAGTTTGTAGTTTCTAGTGTGGTCAGCTAGCTATGAGCCTGGGGAGGCAGGGGAGGAGTGTAAGTGCAACAGAGTGAGTCTAGGCATTTTACAGCACATCAGGAAATTTGGACTAACTGTGCCTCCCTTCAGGGAAGGCTCCCCAGAGAAAGCCTGGCTGCTGTGCACAAATCCAAGAGTGTGTATTCTGGGCAAATAAAACAGTGTTGTGGGAAAACATAGATACAGGCAACAGCACGGTGGACCTGTGGGGACCCAGCTAGCTGAGGCATACTAGGGGTGTAATTAATTCCATAAATGGAAAGGACACTCTCGGAGTTCACAAAAGGAGGAGGCTTCACAGTGGACATTGATATTGCCAGTGGTCTGTTTTGTTCTTTGTCTTCTGTTCTTTGTGTATTGGCATCAGTCTTTCCCACTACAAACAGGCCACCCTTCTTCTGGGGGCTTCCCTGCTGACAGCGCCAGGTTAGCCATTCCAGGGAAGGGGAAGTCCTTACTCTGAATCCATACATCAGTTCCAGAAAAAGGCTGTGATCGGCCAGGCTTTGGTGGTGTGCTAATCCTTTTGGATCAGTCACTATTTCAAGGAGATAGAGCATTCTAGCCTGGGCTGGGTCATTTGCCCTCCCCTGTTTGGAAAATCAAGGTCTTTTTAAAAAGAATGCAGAATAAAGCACCCAGGGAAGATTTAAAAAGAAAATAATACTTACTATGGCTTACTGTACTATATTCTTGAAAGACACATAGTATGTAAATTTAGGAAACGTTTTGGAGAATTTTAAGCAGGGACTTAATCAAATTCAGATTTACTTAAAGTCATCCCAGAAACTGTTTGAGGTTGCAGTTGAAATAGATAAATGTCTAGAAGTGGGGAGACTGATTAGGAAGCTGCTATTGCTCCAAAGATATTGATGAGACCTTAGTTAATTCTTTTGGATTTCACCTCCAGCCACAGCATCAGTAACATGGAAGAGAGGGATAGAGACCAGGGACAAGTAGGTACACAAGGCTGAGTGACCAGATAGAGGGAGCAGGGAGAAGAGGGGCTTAAGAAGAATTCACCACCATCAAGGGGGTAATGACTATTCTCTGGAAGGTTAGTTTTATCTTTGGAAACTAGTTATTAAGTGGTGGTAGGCTCGGCATATCTTATTCCTTCTTGAGAAGTGTGTTATTGGCTTCTTGTGGTACATGAACTGAAAAAGGGAAGCTGATTGATTGTATTTCTCTCCCTTTAAAACGTTTCCCTTCTTTAAGAAATCAGGTAATAGGAGTGGTAGTCAGGACTGCCAATCAAGAAATACATGGACGGGAAGAGGACAGTGTCCTGAAAACCCTACCTCCCCACCGACCTTCCCCTGAACCACTTTAGAAACATTCATTCCTTTGACATTATCATTGCTAGGAAGATTTTGAAGGATTTTAAGCAAAGAAATGACATAATTTGACTTATGTTGTTATAGAGTCCCTCCTTCATTGAGAATAGACTATGGATGGAGGTAAGAATGACATCAAGAGTAGAAGCAGGGACACCAGTTAGGAGGCTATTGCAATAATCTAGGATGGTAATAGTGGAGGCTATGAGAAGTCATATTCTGAATATATTTTGAAGGTTAAAAAAAATCAGTTTTGGTAAGGATTGGATGTGGAATAAGAGAGAAAGAGAGAAGACAAGAATGACTCCAAACCTATTGGCTTGTGCAATTGGACAATCAGTGGATTCAAATGAGATGGGTAAGATTCTAGAGGGAGCAAGTATGGAGGAAGGTCAGGGGTCTGTGTTAGATATGTGAAGCTTAAGACATTGAACATGTCTTAGACCTCCTGTCCATTTGACTTGAAGCAGATAATAGGACATACTAGCTAGAGTTCAGAGGAGTGGTCCAGGCTTGGAGAGGAATCTGGGCATCATCAGCATATAGCTGATATTGGAATCCCTGAGATGAGGTGAGATCACCAAGGGTATGCAGAGAAGATAAAAGAATAAGTATGGAGCCCTGGGACACTTTGACATTAGGAGGTGGGGAGACAGGGAAGAACCAACAAAAGGAACAAACAGTCAATGAGGTGGATGGAAAACCAAGATTGCCATCCTGGAAGCCAGGGGAAGGGAGTAGTCAAACAAGAGGGAATGACTAACTGGTAGCAAAAGCTGTAAGAGGAGGACTAAGACCTGCCCATTAGATCTAGCAACATGAAGGATAGGTCTTTGTGCTTTTGGACCCAAGCTTAACCTTTCAAATAAGTCATAGTTTCTGCCTCGAGGAGATTTCCATTGTGGAGAAAAAAAAAGAGGATAATGTAAGATTGATTGAAATAAATCTAAGGTGGGAAGATAGTGCCATAGGAGTCCAGCAGGAGGGGACAGTACTTCCAGATTTTATGGGGAGAGTTGAGGCCAAATTCATTGATGTCTTCTTTTGTTCATTCCACAAATATTTTTGGGTGCCAGGGACTAGCAGGAAGGGGGAAGGGGAAGTTATAGAGGTATAAAATTTCAGTTTTGCACATGAAAGGAATTCTGGAGTTGAATGGTGATAGTTGTACAATATGAATGTACTTAATAATATTGAGCTGTACACTTAAAAATGGCTAAGCCTTTTAATTCTAACTGTTATATGTACTTTATCACAGTAAAAAAAAAAAAAAAAAAAAATCAGAGAGAAAAAATACCTTATCTCCACACCCCTCCTTCCCCCATCCCATGACTTGGTGGTTGGGAATATGATGTTTGAAATGGATCGCATTTCTATAGAAGGACATTATGGGAAGAGAGGTAGAGGAAGACCTCCAGCCAGTGGCAAGGGACTGGCTATCAGTCCTTTTTGCCTGGTTCGTAGGACTCCTGGGGGGAGACTATGCAAACTGAGCTTGCAGAATCAGGCTGGGCTAGTTGGTGCAGGCCTGGCAGCCTGGCTCTGGAATTGGGCTTGCCTTTTTAGATTCTGGGAGCCTCTGGAGGTTTCTGCCCAAGGGAGTGTCATTCCAAAGGTGTGCATTTAAAAGATTAATCTAATTAATTCTTCCCGTTAAACCATTGCCTATTAAAAGCAGTGGGATTGAGGCATGCATCTGTATGGTAAAAATTGCAGGCTAGCAGAATGTTAGATACTCAGGCATGTGTTAATGAATTGAGTAAGTTATTTTTCCACCCATTTTACAAATATTTATTGAGGACTGTCTAAATGCCTGTAGTGTGCTAGGCCAGTGGGGGAAAGGGAAGGAATGAATTTACGAAATCTCTTTTCTTGATAAGCCTACAGTGTAAGAAATCCCCTTCCTAAATAAGAAATTATACTACAATGTGCCAGAGTGTTGCCATAAACATCTCACCTGAGCTCCATGGGAGCTGGGAGGAGGGTGTGCCTGGCCTGCCTGTGACCCTGGGGATGCTTCCAGGGAAGGACTGACTGTTCAGTGGATTTGAAGGATGAGCAGCATTTTCTAGGCTGAGAAGCAGAAATGGGCATCCTGGGAGGAAGGTAAATCAAAACTTTTTGGGAGTTCTAAGTTTAAAGAAAATGTAGTATAAATATTCTCTTTTAAAGCTAAACTCTTATTTCATTGGCCTATTTCATAGGTGGTGCTGGCTAGAGTGCATACTTTTGGATCCAAGCTTACCTTTTCAAATGTGGGATCCCAGGCCTTTATTGGTAAGTTTGTTTGATGCCTTCTTACAAAATTATGCTCTCAAGGATCAGTAGTTGTCATTGGTGCTTTGTGGAAGTTACCAAGCTTGGATCCTGGAGAAGCCTGAATCGAGGTGGAATAGAGCCACAGAAATGGAGTGTCTGTGGGAGCTGCCTCCCAGAGGAGGCCATCCAGGGAGGCAGGGGATGGATGCAGATGGCTTAATGGAGAGGTGGAACTTTGGCTTTGCTTCAAGGAAGTAGTCCAGGGAGGAGAGAAATAAGCTTTTTGGGCTTGAGACAGTGGGTATAAGACACAGTAAAGTGGTCTCAAGCAGTAAACCCATAGAAGCAAAAATTTCATCCAAAGGAGTCATGGGAAAGAATTTTGACACAATCTGCTGGTGTTTGATTATTCTAGACCAGGGTCATCAAACTTTTCTGTAAAGGATGAAATGGTAAATATTTTTGGCTTCATAGGCCATGTGGTCTCTGTCATAGTTACTCAGCTCTGCCATTGTAGCATGAAAGCAGCCATAGATAATACATAAATGGTGGATGTAGCTGTATTCCAATAAAGCAGGGGTGGGGAACTTTTTTTCTGCCAAAAGCCATTTGGATATTTATAATATCACTAAGGGAATTAATTAGAGGAAATATTTTAATATTGCTATTTGCCCTTTCTCTATAATAGAAGTGTCATAGATGAAAGAAAATTGGTAAAATGTATATGAAAACCCCCCCTCTAGCCAGAGTCTGGGGCGCTCCACGGGACCTAGAGTCAAGTCCTCGCCCACCACCCACAGGTGCTTTGAAAACGCAGGAGACCCAGACCTGGCCAGCCTCACCTCCATCAAGCCCCTTTGGGCGGGGAACGTACCTCAGGTCCCCCAGCCTGGCGCTGGGTATGGACAACATGGCCTGATATCCCTTGTCAAGCCCTACCTGGCAGGAGGCATGGCCTGAGGTCCCCCGGCCCAGCACTGGTGCAGGAGGCACAGCCTGAGGTCCCCATCAAGCCCTGCTGGGTTGGGGGTACGGCCCGAGGTCCCCCATCAAGCTCGCCAGGCAGGGGGTGCAGCCTGAGGTCCCTCGACCCAGTGCTTGGTGGGGTGCGGGGCCTGAGGTCTCCTGGGCCCAGCGCATGGCCTGAGGTCCCTCACCCCAGCTAGGTACCATGCAGCCTCAGGTCCCTGATGTTTGGTCATGATGTTATGGCGTCCTAGCTAACTTGCATATTTCTCTATTATATAGATAGATTCTGGGCCATATGAAATTGTCAACTTAAAAATTTGCCTGCCGGTGAATAGAGTGTTGGCCCTCAGACTGAAGAGTCCCAGGTTCCATTCTGGTCGAGGGCACGTATTTGGTTGCAGGCTCAATCCTTGGCCATGGTCAGGGAGCATGTAGGAAGCCAACCAATCAATGTATTTCTTTCACATGGATGCTTCTCTCTTTCTGACTCTCTTCCTCCCTTCCACTCTCTCTAAAAATTAATGGAAAGGTATCTTTGGGTGAGGATTAACAACAAAAACAATTAACCTGTTGTATTTGGTCAAACAATTAACTTACCCAATGCCTTGGTAGGGCCAGACTTACCAAGGTTTTGCAGGTCTTATGTGGCCCGCAGGCTAGTTGTTCCCCACCCCCACAATAAAGCTTTATTTATAGACTAAGTAGTGGATTAGATTTGGTCTGTGGGCTATAGTTTGCCCACTCCTTTTCTAATCCCTAAATGCCAGTCTAACACATTTGGTCTTTTTCCTACGGGAAGTAGGGATCTGTTGTTATTTTGGGCTAAGAAGTGAAATGGCAGTCGTGACATGTTAGGAACACTCATCTGATACCTGGACAAGAAGCATGAGCCCTATTCAAAGGCAGTCAAAGTGATCCAGGCATGAGGTCATGTGGTTCAGAGTGGTTAGAATGAGAGCAAAGGACCAATGAAAGAGAGATTGCAAAGGGAGAACCATAGGATTTTCAGGCTTCTTAAAGATAGGAGCCAAAGATAAAAATTTAAACTTGGGAATTTACAGTGGTACCATTGACAGAAATGTGGACATCGGGTGTGAAGAAGTGTGGTTGATATGTCTGGTTTTAGACACACTGAATTCGAAATGACAGTGGTTCATAGACAACTGGAAAAATAGGGCTAAAGCCTGGACTTAGAGGGTAAGCCTGGAGATGTATAATACTTAAACCGATGGCTCCTGTTCTATTAGGTCTAGTAATAATTAATAACTAATAATTAAGTATTAGACCTAATACTTAAACCGATGGCTCCTGTTCTATTATAAGTTCTCCCACGATGAACAGAGGCCTGAGCCTTGGGGAATGCACACAACTCTGGGATGGAAAGGAGAAGGTAGAAAAGAACCAGAACTAGGAAGGTAGGAGTCCCAGGAAGGGAAAAGGACTAGGGAGAAAGGACCTGAAAGAAGGGCACCAGATTTGTGACAAGGTGGTTACAGATGGTGTTGAGATATGTGATGCCCTGAGGGGCACCGATGAGAGGAAGAAGTGGAAGGAAGCCAAGTTGCACAGGGTTGCACAGAAATAAGGAATAAAGAATTAGTAAAGTGGACCACTCATAGATTTTGGGTGGTAAAAGAAGGGAGACACATAAAATTTCAGTATTTGCATGTCTAAATAGCCAGATCTTTAGCTTTGAGGCAGGTAAAGCATGCTGGGACCAGTTCTCACTTCCCTCTCTGGAACCAAGCTGTGTTTGGGAGTTTGTGTATACATTGGGCTTGCATTGTGTTCTTAGGCTCCCTTTGAGGTGTGGTGTGCACAGCTCTGCCACAACTTGCACTGCAGAATCTAGTCGTGTTTGGACTCTTGCCATGAGACAAGATGCGATCTGTTGGGGAAATACTTACATTTGCCTAAGTTTGGAGGACCAAGAATTCAGAATAAAACTTCTTACTGCAGAGTCTGCTCAGATATGGTAATTTGAAGTAATTCTTCAAGATATTCAAGTAGATATCAATTTTATGCTCTGATTATTTCGAATGCACCTTCTTTGGTTTGAATTCTAAGTAATTTGTGGTTTGGTTTATGTAAATAGAGCAATTAAAAGAGAGTAATAAAAGCAACAGGTGGAACTGGTTTAGAGTCACCATTTATGGGACACTCACTGTGTACCAGGTACAGTGCTGAGTACTCTCTAGGTGTCACTTTATTTTTGCAACAGCCTGTGACGTGGAAAGTAGTATTTTCCTTTCAGCAATAAGGAAATCCAGTCATAGGTTGAGTAACCTGCCCAAGGTTATAGGAGATTTGAACGCAGTTCTATCTGACCCCTGGTTTATGCTGCTCCCTGTTTTCTCCCATTTAAGTCAGAATTTCTCCTCCCACTTACATAGAAGTACTAGAGACAGATTGAGCTCTTCCGGCTAAATATTCAGAGACTCTAGTGGGTGTTTCCACTTCCTAGGCACCTACTGAAAGGGTGGAAGGAGTGTGGGATCTCTGGAAGAGACAAAGCCCAAATTTCACACTTATTTTAACTGTTTCACCAGATACCGTTTTCCTTTAGTTGGAGAAGGCTGCAGCCCTGGGCTTGGAAAGGAAGCATGTCCGTGGGATTTCGGTCCTAGCTCTGTGCGGTTATAATCTACTTTCTGTTTCGATACTTGGCATTTCTCTCTGCTCACATCCACCTTCAAGCTCCAAGAGCAGTGCCCTGTTTTGTCTTGTTTGCATCTGTGGCCCCAGCATCTACATGGTTTCAGACAGGCAGTATGTGCTCACTAAATATTTGTTGCTTCTAATGAGCCAGACAACTTGGGACAAGGTGCTCTCAGTACAGTGGTTATAGAAATGACACCAGACAAGTGCTCTGACCAGACAAGGCAGATGTCCTAGTGAGGCACTCAGACAGCCTAGAGGTATGAGATGCATAGTAGGTCAAGGGCAGATAGCTTGGTAATGCTCTGAAGTGAAATAAAGTGGGAGGGAGAGGTGGACGGTGATGGGCTGACAGTTTAGTTAGGGTCATCAGGAAGTCCTCACCAAGAAATGAAGTGAGATAATGAGGCTGGGGCGGGGGGGGGGGGGGGGGGGGAATGTCATAATAATGTTACTGAGATTTAATTCTTTTGTTTGGCTGTGATGGTTTGCACCCAGCTAACTGTTCCCTCAGCAGGACTCCCTCCATGTCTCTGGCTATGCTGAGTGCTCCCTTCCCCTCCTTGGTCTGCTCACTCCTTATCTGGCCCGCCTTCTCCTTGTCCTCCAGACCTTAGCCTCTGCAGTCTGCTTTGCCAGTTTTCTTTTTTGTCCTTAGCTTAAGGTTTTGTTTGGTTCCTTTCATGCCACTCTAAGTGTTCTCCCCAGGTGAACTCATCTACTGCTTCCTCTATCTGGGAGTCACCCACATCTACTTATTCAGCCCCAAGCCCCCTCCCAACCCTCACTCATAGCTGTGGCCCTGCAGGTACTTCAAACTCATCCCTCCGCTGGTGGCAAATGTGTCTCTCTCTGTGTGTCTGTTGCCTGCCTTGGGTGGTACTGCGCCCCCTCAGTTCCGTCTACTGTAGGAGTCATTCTTGGCTTTGTCCTTTTCCTTAACTGTCATCACCCATCAGTTGCCACGTCCTGTGGAGACCGTCTCTCAAATTTGTCACCTCACGCCTTCTCCTTCTTCACTCCTTCATTTTGGGACTCACTGTATGGAATTTTTTTAAACAGCCCTTTCATTGGTCTTCCTGTGTCCATCTTTGTCCTCCCTCATGCCACTCTCATACTCCTATCAGCAAGATATTTCTAATTCACAAACCTGACCATTGCTTTCTTCTGCTTAAAACTCCCCATGGGCTTCTCATTGCTTTCAGAAGAAAACCCAAGTCCCATCAGCGGGCCTGCAGTTCTTTCATAATCTGGCCCTGGGCCACCTTCCTCATTTCACTTTTTCTCTAACCCGTATTTCTAACCTCAGCCTAGCCTTCCAACAGCCTGTACCTCCTGGTGCCTTTGCCATTGCTAGGCCCTCTCCTAGGAGTGACCTACCCCTGCTCCCC